GTTTAATAGGTATTGCATGATTGGTGGGCAGGGTCAAAAAGGGATTATTATAATGACATGGCACCTCGGAACTAAGTGTTAACCCTTTTTTGAGAAATCATGCTCAAGTATATGAACCCAAATTGCATATTAAATAAGTTTACAAGAACCACTAAAATTAATCTTAATCTTTTTTTAAGAAATTTTACTTACCTAAATACATGTAGGTACTTAGTTTTAGACCAAATTACTTCCCAAAAATGGCCTTTTATTATTATCTATGTCTGTAATTTTTAATTTACTTTAATTATTAAGTTTAATAATCCTAAGATTTGCCTACGCCCATGGACGACAACGAAATTCAGGCAAATTTTATGACACTTCATGATTTATTACTCTACACTCTTTTGAAATAGACTATAAATATTATCCAATTTTGAGGATAACCAGTAAAAGCGTGGCAGATCAAAATTATGATTTTTAAAAGAGACAGCTGCAAAGACTTGGGAGTATTTTTTGATACCAAACTCTCCTTCACCCTTCACATAGAGAAAAGTGTTACTGCTGCGAAAAGAATGTCAGGCCTTATATCTTCAACTCGTTTGTGAAATACCGTTTAGAATATCTATCTGGTCACCTATATACTACACACATTCAATCGCTTAAATCTGTCCAACGACAGTTTATGAAATATTATCACCTACAAACTACATAATGTCTACCCCCAGACTGGAAGTAGATAATAATATATTGTTGAAGCGTTTTCATTTTCTATCTCTTAAAGACAGGAGAACTTATCAATCTTGCGAATTCGTATACAAACTAGTAAACAATCTTATCAACTCACCAAAACTACTGTCACAACTAGAGTTCCATGTGCCAAGAATCAGTGGTAGAACTGAACAATGTATTAACCTACCAACACCGAGAACCCACACGTTATTCAAATATCCCTTATTCCTAATGTACTGTAATTTGAATTAAGTCTGTCAGAAAGAAGACATATTCAACACTATTGAATATATTCAAATAAGAAATAAAAACATTAAGTTTGCGAATAAATAAATACTTATTTAATCTTTATTTTTAACTACATCATTGTCTATAGGTCTTGCAATGGAGATATCGATTTGTTTTTCAGTAATCTAGAAAATCTCCTANTATTCAATCATTTTTATGTTTTTTTTTTTGGGTCCTATAACAATCTTTTCATTACGATCATCGAGTCTTCTAAATGAAACGTCATTATGAAATTTCGAATTCCCCTGAAAATGTATTCATTATGGTGACTAATTTATTGTTAGAGAACATTTATGCTATCAACCAATAGGGATGTCATCAGGAAACATTGCAAAATTTCCTGCAAAATTGTTGACATAAATAATATAAAGCAGAGGTTCCAGAAATGGTGATGTGACTGAAATTTTCAACTTGAGTAGTACTGCCAGTTTTATGTATAGGATTTATTTTCCTAAATTGTAAAATTTCTGAATAGCTAACGAGCAGTTGATGGGAATACTGAAAATAACCTGATATTATATTTTCCAGATATAAACCAGATATAAAGTAAACATTTTATATAGAAGTACTGTTGAAACCAGAGCTTTTCGATTAAAATGCACACAAATTGTTATTTCTGATTGAATATTTTCATATACTTGTTGAAAATCAACTGCTAATTTTTATTATTTTTTCTTTTGATATGGCACAGAATAATCCCCATTTACTTTTTTAGGAAGCAACAAAAATATATGATAGGTTAAAAAGACGTACCCTTTTTTTGCTTCATCCATGCAGGACGTTTCGCAGAATGTTCATTTGGTTGGGATTCTCCCACACCTTCTTTAACTTCGTCAATTCCATTCTCTGTGATTTGAATTTCTTCTTTGACAGATTCATCTCCGAACAGCGTACTCATGTCTTTTCTGATCAAAGTTACTGTTACGGTCACTATTGCCCCAGCTGTTACCTCTTTTGGATTTTCGTCGTCCATAACTGAAAAAAAGAAAATCTTATCAAAACACCATTTTCAAAAATGTCCCCAGTCCTCACCTTCTACTTGAGTCTGAAAATCTATATATGGCATCCTGCCCAGTACCTTCATAACATTTTCATACTCATCTTCACTCAAATTTCTCAGCAGACTTCTACGATCCTCCCCTTTCAATTGGGCATACTGCTGCAAAGTTTTGATTTGGCGCTTCTTAGACAAGAAATACTTGAGATTATCGTCGTTGATGTGAGGCAACTGCAGAAGTGGGGACTTGAATTCCCACATACCCTGCACTATCATCGGACATAATCTCATGCAATTTTCCACTGTATCTATGGTGGGAAGTTTATTAACTGAAAATAAATGAATAGTAATAATCATAATGTACATGATAAAAATAAGACCATGATATGGTATTGCTTATTCTCTTCTAGTTTTCAAAACCTATGTGGTATCACATCATCACAATCATTAGCGCCCAGTATTGAATTTTTAGAAGAAACAAAAATAATAAAAACAATTTTGTGAGGTTGTCGATTGATTTGTCAGATATTAAATATAGATAGCTGTCAAAACTTCGTAAATACATTTTCATTGAAGAAGTCATTGGTAGTGTGATGCACTGTTTGGAACCTTTGGTGTAGTAATGAATATTACCGAAGTTTTAATAAAATCATATCTGGAAAATAGAAGGCAGTGCGTGATTGGAAGGGATCAAATAAACGGCGAACTAGTAACATCAATTAAAGAGAAAATAATCAGAGGGGTACCCCAAGGGTCAATCTTGGGTCCTTTACTCTATATATTATATACTAATAACGTATCAGACGCTGTGAATGAATTTATGGTGCAATATGCTGATGATTGCTCTGTGATTTTTAGTTCAGATGATGCTTCTTCTGAAAAAACCAATATCTTTTCCTCCCTGAACCTGCTAGAAGACTACNTCAGAAAACAAAATGAAATACAGATACATACAAAATACAAAGGAGATTAAAATTTGTTTTGGATTTAGGAGTTCTGTTTAGTTGCCTTAAATTCCCCAAGTGAATAAAAATCATGGCCTCTCAAATAGTCTTTCACTGCTTTTTTGAAAGCAATAAATCTATTTTCACTTCTTATATTAACTGACAGTTATTATAGATTTTTATTGATATCATAAAAGGTCCTTTGTGAACTTGTGTTGAATGAGCTGTGAATAAGTAAAGTCATTACTCACTCCTAAAAATATAACCCTTTCTATTTAAAGTTATTTACATTTTTGAAGGTTGGAAATTCATTTATATGTTTCTTTACACAACAAGAATGTGTGATGACAGTTGAAATTTTTTCATTAATAAATACAGAGCGACACGAGTCAGTGCGTTTGAAATTGAACATGCTTCTGAGGATACTTTTCTACAAAATTAGTACTCGTTCAATATTTGTACAATTTCCCTAACATTAACACATCCATGATAATACATTTTTAGAGTGATATTGTGGATATTTTATACAGTTGTAAAATCGCATAGTTCCATGCTAAAATCTGTTTGGAAAAATTTTCAACATGAGTCTCCCACATCATCAACCTGCTATCTGCAAGCCAAGGAGTTTCACAAAGATGAATTTGGTATTTCTCCTGTTCACACAAGAATACTATAATGTTGTCTGTGCCCAATCGGACTAAAATACAGCAAGTCTGTTTTAGAAAGGTTTAATTTCAGGCCAATCGCAATGCACCAAGTTTTCATTTGACTAATGCAATGTGTGGAATTTTTCAAAAGCTGTTCAACACTCATCACCTGTACAATAGAGGACGTATCGTCATCAAAAAGGGTTAGAAAATAATTGTCATGGTTTATACCTAAATCATTTATAAAAATGAGAAAAAGTGTTGGGCCAATAACACTCCCTTGAGGTACTCCACAAGTAACGTCTACATAATCTGATGGATAAACAGTTCCATTTTCTACTATTCGTACTTGGGTTCTATCCACGACAAAGCAGTGGGTGATGAACCGTCAAAAGAAAGGCAAGTTTTCATGTGTACAGGAATAATTATAGCTTTTTTTCAATTTTTTGAGAAAAAGGTATGTTCTGAAAGAGACATTCACATTCAGAAGGTTACATGGAGCCTCATCGAACCCACTTGATTTTTTACAACAAACATCTGTTGTAATATCTAAGACTTCTGTTCTTTTTACTGGAGAAAAAACATTGAATTGGTATTTCTCTTTATCTTAAAGAAGTAAATTTTATTTTCATTCACATCTCGAGTTAATTCATCTATACTTTCAATAAAGATCCACCAGAGCAAATTTAATTGTATTGACCCAAAATGTTAGTGATGTCTTAGATGATCGTGGTCAAGTTGATGTGATATTTACTGAATTTGCTAAAGCATTTGATCAACTTGATCACATGATCCGTCTACAAAAACTCCACCAATTTGGTTTCCATAATTCAGCACTACTTTTCATTAAATCCTACTTACTTCAACGCGAACCGTTTGTATCTTATAATGGCTATGATTCTTTTTATTACAATCCTTCATCTGGAATACCTCAGGGGTCGAATCTCGGACCACTTCTGTTTTTATTATTTATTATTGACCTCAGTAATGATGTTGATTGTAATAAGTTATTTTTTGCAGATGATTTGAAAATATATTTACCTGTCGAAACTATCGAATACTATACATTGCAACGACAGAAAATATACAGACTTGGTGTGAAGTTAACAAACTATATCTCAATGCATCCAAATGAAAGTAGTGTCTTATAGTAGGAAAATGTCAGTCGTCGAGTACAATTATCGAGTAGATACCATTACACTGTCACAAAGTAAGTCAATTAAATAATAATAATAATAATAATAATAATAATATTTTATTGGTTCTTCTGGATCATAACTCAATGATATAGAACAAGTCAGTGTAATATGATATAAATAAACTTATAAAAAAGAAAAAATTATGTACATATAGGATATGAACAGTTATGTAAAATTATATATTAAAACTTATAACTAGGTAAAATTATAATATATTAACAACCCTAGATGACAATCTCAATTCTTCAGTTATATTGATAAGTCATTTATAAACTCTTCAATGGAGTAGTAGGCTTTATCAATCAGAAAGTTTTTTAGGAACGGTTTAAATTTTCTTAGTGACATTTTTCTAACATGATTTGGCAATTTGTTAAATAGCCTGACACCCATGAAAATTGGACTTGATTCTGATCTAGCCAGTCTATGATTTGGTATTTCTAACAATGTTGAATTTCTTGTGCCGTAATTATTTTTGTTTAAGAAGGTAAAAGGTCGCTGATCCGATTTTACAAAAATTAACA